TGGAAATAAAGGAAATTTTTTCTGCCTTCTAAGATTATGATCAGGTTATGATCTAGTAGTTTTCATTCAAATGGCAGCTGAGTGATCCTCTATCAGTTATATTAGAACTTTTGGACTGATGGAGGGCAACTGGAAGCTATATAAATATTCATTGATTCAATTGCAGTAGCTAGGCACTCAATAAATGCCTATTCATCATGGAATTTCAATTTACTGGGAACAATGAACATTAATCAAATAATTATGTGAAATTACAATATCAGCAAATGAAAAGTGTGAAAAATGTACCCTGAACAACATATCCTAGTCTTGAGGTAGTGGAGAGCCCCTAAGGTGGTTCCCAGTATTGTCTCTTTCTTATATTCATGTCTGTAAAATTCCCTCCTCTTGACTGTGGGTGGGATTCATTTATTCACTTACTGAGCAAAATATAGCAAAATGATGGATGTCAGTGCTAAGACTCAGTTATAAAAAGACTGTGGTTTCTGTCCCGATGTTCTCTCTCTCTCTCTCTCTCTCTCTCTCTCCTTCCCTCCCTCCTCCCTCCCTCATCACTGTGAGAAAATAAATATTTGTTTTGGGGGTAATTTATCATGTAACAATAGGTAATTAATACAAAGTCCAATAGACAAAAGCCAATAAGAAGAAGGAGAGACAAAGGCAGAGAGAGAAGAATTTTCTAAATAAAAGTACCATTATGTGCAGAAGACATGTACCTGAAGAGATTATAGAAAACTAGGATCTGAAGACCAGGGCTGGGGTGCCTGCATGGTGCAATTCATTAAGTATCAGACTCTTGGTTTCAGCTTTGGTCATGATCTCAGGGTTGTGGGATCATCAGGCTCTGCACTCAGCAAGGAGTCTGCTTAGGTTTCTCTCTCCCTCTCCCTCTGCTTCTCCCACCCCCCTCTCTCTTCTCAAACAAATAAAGCTAAGAAGAAGAAAGAAAGAAAGAAAAAGAAAGAAAGAAAGAAAGAAAGAAGAAAGAAAGAAAGAAAGAAAGAAAGAAAGAAGAAAGAAAGAAAGAAAACCAGGGCCAAAAAAAAAAAAAGAATATCATCTTTTGTTATGTTAGTGTTACATAATGATTTCAGAACTTCTTTCCTGAGACAAATGTATCTTCTTACGGAAGCAGAACAGAAAGGAAAAAAAGTTTTTGCCATTCTAGCCATATGAAATATAACATGTTTTTAAAATGAAAACTCTCTCCTTCATATGTATTATAGCTTAACATTTCTATTATGAATTCTTACTTCCAAAAAAGAAAGAAACTAAAATACAGAATAGGAGATTTCTTATCTTAAATCATATTTGTCTAGAATGAGTGGTCTGTGACCACAGTCTAAATCTCCTCCATACCCACTGTCTCCTCAACACCAGCAGTCTTGTGGCTCCTACACCCTTCCATTCAGCACACAGTTTTGAAGGTCACCAGCTCCTTGAGAGCCAAACTTTTGGCCTTTCTTCAGTGCTAGAGCTCTTGGGTTATTTGGAAGATGTGGATGCTATTAATCACTTTCCTTTCTTTGTAAAACCCTTTTGTCAGCCTCTACCACTATCCCTGTGCTTTGCCTCTGATGTCTTTCTCCTTAGGCACATTAATGAGGACATTCCAAGTCTCATGTGCCCATCTTTCTCTCTGCATCTTTTCTTATCATTCTCCATACAATTGATTTCTCCTTGTTTTTTTGTTGTTGTTTTATTTTTTTTAACAACTGAAGCCATAGCTTAGCTCCCTCGGCCTTTCATACAAACTGTTTGACCTGCCTGCATTGTTAGTCCCTCACCTCTCCCTGGCCTCACTCTTTTCTGCTCTTCATCTCAAACATCACTTCCAAAAGAATTCTTCCCTGACCCTCACAGAACACACTAGATTTAGCAATTACACATTTCTCTGTTACTTTCTGTTTCTTCTTTCACATTATTTAATTATGTGCAATGATTTATTTAATGCTGGCTTCTCCTCTGAGATTCTAAGCTTCGTGAGAGTGTGATTTATGTCTGTCTTGTCCAAGTATCCCCAGCATGAAGCACAATCTCTAACACATGACAGGTATGCCCTTACTTATTAACTGACAGATTTTCCCAGACATAATTTGGCACATCTTTTTTACACTATATTTTGGATATTATGGATGAGTTTCGAGATCAGTTCATTTACCAAAAAGTTGAGTGATAGCCTTCGTAATTCCTTGAACAATGCTGGGCTTTATTTGCCCATGTATAAAATTAAAGGATTTAATTTGAAGGTTTATAAAGTCTCTCCTACCTGAAAACTCTATATTTCTTGAAAGTGTCATACATTTCCTTCATTTCACAAATGAGAAAATTATCGTCTAAAGAGGGTAAGCAATTTCTTAAAGATGACACAGCTAGTGGTTAAACTTTCATCTCATGACAAACCTTTAAACCTAACACAGAGATATATAAGGATCGAGAAATTCAGGGAAAGGAGACTGAGATTTTATTGAGAAAAATAAAAGCATCAAAATATTCAATGCATGGATGAAATCTGGAAGCAAAAGGGCATTAATAATAATAATACATCCAATTTCAACTTGTGTATCTATCTTTCCCCATCTATCCAAATTTATCATCCAAGATCCATTTTCTCCATTAAGACTTCAAAAACTCCAATTGTTCAATAAACAATCTCGTCTTTGGATTTTACTAGATTCATAGGTAATTTCAAGACTGGCCAATTCAATTACTTCATCTTAGCTTGATCTCCCTATTTTAATTGCTAATAATTTTAGGCACTCTTACACACACACACACACACACACACACCCTCACACCCTCCATAAATAATCCAGTGTTATATAATCTGAAATTAAGACAGACTTCTTTCTTTTGGCATTTGTTTTTAATTTTCTTTCCTCCATCCTTTTCAGCTACCCACAGTTTTGATTTTTTTTTATCTCCTCTTCTTGTTACTGTCTGCCCCCTAGTGGAAGATAACAACAAATGATCAAAATCAGCCCAAAGAAAAGTGGAGGAACCCTTTTAAATTATCAGAATTTTGATCCTGATAATCCTAATCAGTGACTTTTATAAAAGGTAGAACCAAATTGATTAAGATAGTAATTTTGCTATCCATTAATACAAGAAAAAGATCTAGAATAAAATAGGCTAAAGTAAGGAGAGTGTGAGAAAAGAGGACCAGACACAGAGGTGGAGAAACTTTCTGGACAGTGGACTGCTTCGGTCGTTTTAATTTTTCCCCTCAGGTATTTTCTTAACAAACCTTGTCTACCAACTACTACGTTCCTTGAATTTATAGGCAAATAAGTCAACAGAAAAGTAAATAGATTTTTTTAAATGCTGTGCTTTTCATTAAAGTCATTCGTGTTTTATGTACCTTTGTGAATTCATCTTGTACAATAAAATGTGTTATTTCTGTTTGGCAGTGTTAAAAACAAAGTATTAGTAATAAACACATAAATTCATGCCCCAAGTAGTTTGCTTCTCATTATTCTGAATTATTTCACGATAAATTTATCATGCAAATCTCTGCATGTAATATAATTTGCTTTTTTGTATCTGGATGCTAAGCATTTCAAAAACTTTATAATTATACAAGCACGGCTTTCAGAGATTTGATTTAGGTAGTATATTCTAGCTGTATTCAGAAATAGTTTTAAAATTCAAACCTTTAGACCATTACAACTTAAAATTATCAAGTACTTTTTTATCTTGATTTTTTTTCCTTTACCCAAAAAAAGTCATAGTGCAACTTGACATGAATCAATAGCTCTTTGCCTAGCTGGCTTCCCTGCCAAGTTGGGTCCTTGCTTTCCACAATTAGGTCTCAACTACAGAAAGATTTAGATCACTTGATTTTTTTTTTTTAAGTGAGTAAGTAATCCATTACGCTTACAACCAAGCATAGGCAGCATATTTTTTTTTCAGTGGTGTTATAAATAGTGGTGCTTTTTAGTGAAAAGCATAGCCCTATTCAAATGTCCAGTGATGGTCACAGACCTAACTGAGTGTGGCTCTGCCATAGATGCGTGGTGTTAAACAAATCAATTCACCTCTCTAGGCCTCAGTTTCTACTTTTTAAAAATGAAAAATTGTCTTCCATGCCTACTTCACTGATTTGCTTTGCAGATCAAAGGATATAAAGCATGTGAAAATTCTGCATGGAAAGGTAATACAGTATGGTTGTTTTATTTGTGCCCACCAGTAAGACTTTTTTGCTGGGAAGTAGGCAATACTTTAAAAGTCTTTTCTTTTTTCAATGATCAAATTATAAAATTTAATGCCAACTACGCTGTTCCCTTGCAGTTGCTCCCATTTACTAAAAGCGAAACTTGAAAACTCCCTCCCACATCAACTCCTACCAGCCCTCTGTAGTGAAACCAGGACACCCCCACCATAGCCCCCAGTGCCCTACAACTCCTACAAGAACCTAGATGTTGCAGTGTCCTCTCATCCAGAAAGTGTCTTTTACAGCCTACACATCTTAAAGATAAATACAGACATACCTCACAGATACACCACTCAACTTCGAGCGCATCCTATTTTAAAAAGCACCTGGTCATACAATGTGATTAAAAGGAATAAACTTTCCTAATTTATATGGTTAACTATATAGACTTAAGTGGGGTGGAATTATTATTTAATTTTTTTTTTTAAGAGAGAAGAGGGTAGAGAGAACCCAGATGGCTTGGATTACCACTAGAAAATATTTGATAAATTCTGCTTGGCTCAGAAAAGTGGGGGGTGGGGGAGAGCGGGGGAAATAAGGAAGTGGGCAGTGAAACAAACTATAGAGATGCCTATAGTACCGTAGGATAAAAAGTAAAATAAGTAAGACAAAGAGCCAAGTGAGGAGAATAGAGCCACATAACCTGAGAGCAGCCCCCTCCCCCATCTCTGTGATAGCATTAGCTGGCCTCCCTCCCCAAGAAAGGCAAAGAAAGCTCAGCAGAAGCTAAGCCATGTTTGTCACCGGTCATTCTCCTGTCACTCTCCCACAAAGATTTCAGACTTACCAAACACACAGAAGATGGTCAAACCCAGTAGAAGCCATAGCTCAAAAGTCCTCCCCGCACAGGGCATTTCTGATCTCTCGTATTGTGCCCTCTACTGAGTACTCTGCCTCCACACAGGTATGAAAGGAGCTGTGGACATGGTGGGGCTCTCCTCTGGTCAGCGGCTCTGTGCCGGATCCTCTTAGCCCATCAGCAGCAGGGACACTTCTCCTTCCAGCCTCTTCCCTCCACTCTGTGTGTTAGGCTGATTAGTAAGTTGGAACAGAAGACACTCTTCTTTGGAACTTGACACAGCAATAGATTTCCTGTATGAAGCACCGAACCAGAAACAGAGGAAGCAGATTGATTGAGCCCTCTTTCAGCTCATTGGTCCCTCTCTCACTTCTGCTGCACACAGATCAACCTTACAGTAAAGCACTGAATGTGCCCAAGATAAACAGACTCGTCTAAACTTGGATTGCAGAGCACAACAGGATATTTATCTGTCCTTGGCCCATCCCCGTACATTTCCCAATCACGGTAACTTTTGAAAGCTTCTCTGAGTTGAAGAAGAGTATAGCCGCAGTAATAAAGTTTGGAATAAAATATCCTCCCTTGAAAATTCTTGCGTGAAATTACTGTCCATAAGGTCCACAACTCTAGAAGAATCATAATTGTATTCGTTTCCTACCGGCACTATAACAAATTACCAAAAACCCAATGGCTTAAAAACACAAAAATTTGTCTTAGAGGTCAAAAGTCCAAAATTGACCTTACAGGGCTAAAAGCCAGGTGTGAGCAGAGCTGTGTTTTTTCTGGACGCATGGAGAGAACCCGTGCATTGCCTTTTCGAGCTTCTGGGGGCCACCGGCATTCCTTGGCCTGTGGTTACATCATTCCCACCTCTGTTCTGTTGTCGCATCTCCTTGGATTATAAACCCTCCTGCCTCCTTCTTATAAAGACTCTCGTGAGGGGTGCCTGGGTGGCTCAGTCAGTTAAGCATCTAACTTCATCTCAGCTCAAGTCTCAGGGTCATGAGTTGAAGGCCCATGCTGACATGGAGGCTACTTTAAAAAAAAAAAAAAGAAGAAGAAGACCTTTGTGAGTACATTGGACTACCCAGATAATCCAGGATAATCTCCACATCTCAAAATTCCTAATCACATCTGCAAAGTCCCTTTTCTCATGTAAGTTTAACTACTTACAAGTTTCAGAGGTTAGGACATGGACATCTTGAGGGGAGCATTAGTCTGTCACCATTTAGTATTTATTTCCATTTATTTTCACCTTTAAAGAGCCAGACTGATCATTTGAGCCAAATTACAAATAAACACCAATCTTTAGCTATTACACATCTGGAATTCAGACTTACCAAAAAACCCTCAGCCTTCCTGTGGCTACCTCATACGCACTTAGATTATGTTTGGGAGAAAAGAAATCCTTTATTTGCTACACCAAGACTAAAACTCTTCAGGAAGGGGAAGAAATATTGCAAACAGGAAAAAGATTAAACAACAAGCATTTTTTTTCTTTTAGGCTAGCAGTTTCATCTTCCTTCTTGCCAAACATTAAACTATATATATATATATATATATATTTCCTCCCTTCCTCTTCTCAAGCTTTCTTTCTAGTGAACCAATTTGATTGAGACAGTGGAATCAGGCACTTGAGGGCTTGGAGTACGCAAAGAGATGTGCTATGTAAAGATGGTGGAGTATAGCAGCAGGAACTTCCCCATTGTTTAATATTTCACTAGATGTCAGAAAAATCAGTGACGAAATGTCATTTAAAATAAAGCATTCCTGGGGCGCCTGGGTGGCTCAGTCAGTTAAGTGGCTGCCTTTGACTCAGGTCATGACCTGGGGGTCCTGGCATTGAGCCCCACATCAGAGTGCCTGTTCAGCAGGGAGTCTGCTTCTCCAGCTCCCCCTGCCCCTCCCCACCATTCATTCTCTCTCTCTCTCTCAAATAAAATATTTTTTAAATTAATTAATTAGTTAGTTAATTAATTAAATAAAGCATTCTGGTTTCCACTATGTAGAGGTCAAGGTTAAAGAGGTCAAGATCTTGCGTTTTGATAGAGGAGAGACCCAGGGTTGAGGCCCTAGTCTGATGATTCTAGGTAAGTTTCTTACTCAAGTCTGTAGCTTGTCCTTTCCACTTAGTATTCTATTGACATGAGCATTTTTTTCACAATCATTTCATATCATCAAAAATATTTTGGTGATAATCTATTTTATTGCCTGTTCAATTCCACAGCCCAAACTAAAGCACAGAAGGGACTTACTGACCTGCCTAAGATCTCAAAGTGACCTGGTGACATAGATAGGTGTAAAAACTCAAGTTTCATGTTTGCTAGCCTGGTGTTCTCTCCACTCAGTTCCTTTGGTTTGAGCGTCAGGCCAACAACTTTCAAAGACACACTCTCACATTCTCATCTCAGTCAGACTACAAATACAATTACCAGTTTAAGAGTCAAGAGAATGGTTTCAAAACAAATAGAATTCTCAAAGTAGATTTGGGAGGATGAGCCTTTCTTCCCCATTCCTTTACCTCTTCCATCCAAAAGTTAGGGGAGTGGACCTCTAACCTCCCAACTCTAGCCCTTAGCTCTTATAGAGAACAAGTGCTTGGAAAAACAATAGAGGGACCAGGAGTTTGCTAGCCAAAGAAATGCCATGAAATTAAATATAATAAAAGAAAAATGTGCTTGTCTAGTAAATGTACCTCTTTGAACAATCTAAAGGCCCCCAGATTCTCCTTAGTTGTGTCCTTTGGCACAGGAGCCCAAAAGCAGAGCAGAAGAGAAAGACAGGATCAAGAGAAAGGTTTGGCTCAAACCAGAAACCCAAACATGTACTCCCTCAGTCTTCCAATTTCTCTTCAATACTGCCACTTAAGAATCAGTGCACATGAGGGCTATCAAAATAAAAAGCTTGGCATAACTGAAGGAATAATCAACGAAACTAAAAGGTAACCTACTGAACGAGAGATATTTGCAAATGACATATCCAACAAAGGGTTAGTATCCAAAATACATAAAGAAATGATACAATTCAACACCAGAAAAACAAATAATCCAATTTAAAAATAGGCAGAAGACATGAACAGACACTTCTCCAAAGAAGACATACACATGGCCAACAGACAAGAAAGATACTCAACATCACGCATCATCAGGGAAATGCAAATCAAAATACAATTAAAAAAGAAAAAACTACAATGAGACATCACCTCATGCCTGTCAGAATGGCTAAAATCAACAACACAAGAGATAAGTGTTGGCGAGGCTATGGAGAAATAGGAATCCTCCTGCACTGTTGGTGGGAATGGCAACTGTTGTGGCCACTACGGAAAACAATATGGTAGTTCCTCAAAAAGTTAAAAATAGAACTCCCTATGATGCAGTAATCACAGTACTGGGTGTTTGCCAAAAAAAATTTTAAAAACATTAATTCAATGGGATACATACACCCCTATGTTTAGAGTAGCATTATTTACAATAGCCAAGACATTGCAAAGCAGCCCAAGTGTCCATATATATGAAGTGGAATATCACTCAGCCATAAAAAAAGAATGAAATCTTGTCATTTGCAACAACATGGTTGGAGCTGTAGAGTATAATGCTAAGCAAAATAGAGAAAGACAAATACTATATGTCTCACTCATATGTGGAATTTAAGAAACAAAACAAATGAGCAAAGGGGAAAAAAAGAGAGAGAGAGAGAGAGACAAGTCAAAAACCAGACTCTTACCTATAAAAAACAAACTGATGGTTACCAGAGGGGAGATGTGTGGGGATGATGGGCAAAATTGGTGACAGGAATTAAAGAGTGCACTTATCATGATGAGCACTGAGTAATGTATAGAATTGTTGAGTCATTATATTATACACATGAAACTAATATAACACTGTATGTTAACTATATTGGAATTAAAATAATTTAAAAAAAAGAATCAGTGCACATGGGAGACAAAGAAAACAATATTATGCTGGTTAATGTTGTGGTAGCTGAAATGAAAAGACTCAGAAAGCTTTACTAAGTTAGAGCTGCTTTAAGATATAATGCCCCCAAATTTGGACTGTTGATTTACTCAAAAACTGATTTATCTGCCTATAAGTGCTTTTGAAGTAAACTTCCTCTGGCCAGATGATTCCAGAATCAGATTCATATGTAGTCACAATTGAAGCCAGTTAAGAAGATGTTGTTCGCTTGTCCATTACGTAGAAGCTTTGCATGGATCTTGAATACTTACTGCAGTCTCTAATGGCCTTTTACCCTTGACTCTTTGTTCTCCATTGCCTATCCTTTCACCTCCTGGATTTGAGTCCTGACTGCCTAAAGCTCAAGTAACTGCTTGCTTCTCCCTATCACATGAGAGTTAATCATTATTTTTTTATATAAAGTCACAAATTATGCAAAAAGAAAAATTTGCAAATGTTTGAAAATAAAATATATGCAATCTCAGCAAGTCAAACCAGAGCAGAGAAATTAGTCAGCACACTATATTTTTCTAAATATTAATTCTAGGCCTCCCTCACCACATCCATAGTAAATAGCATATGTCAAACCCTCAGCTTAACATCTAGGCCCTCGTTCTAAACACTTTATAAATATGGCCTCATTTACTACTTAAATTTTAACTCTCTGTCTTGTCTCCAATACCTCTCCTACACTCCTTATCTCTATTAAATCTATTCATCTATTCAGTCACTAATTTGCCCATTTGGGCACTCCTACAGCTTCATAGTCATCTGTTTTGGAGAAGAGAGAGAGAGAGAGAGAGAGAGAGAGAGGAGAGAGAGAGAGAGAGAGTGGGGAACTTAGGGAAGAGAGAAGGAGGGAAAAGAAGCAATAAAGTAATAAAAGAAAAAAAAACTGCTCTGTCCCTAATTCTCTAGTTGCAGAATTACTAATTTAGGATTACTCTTTGCTGCCCCCTAGAGATAATTTGGTGAAACTAAAACTAATGTTTTCATAAATTTATTTCATAAATTCAATAATAGCAAGCACTTTGAGATTTTGGTAATATTTTGATGTGATTTTGATTGCATACCTCATGTTGCACATTTATTTACATCTTTTGGAAGCTAGCTAAACATAACAATTGACTACTTGATGGATAGTATAGATATGACCTAAAGAAATATTATTGAAAAGAATAGTAATCATCTGAGACACCAGGATGGCTTAATAAAAACAGTAGTAGAAAGAGGTGGATGGATTGTTGAATGGATTGGTGAATGGATGGTTGGATGGATGGATGGATGGAAAATAGATTCCATGCCTCATTCCTGGGAAATCTGAGATAAAATTGTTATAGGTTGAATATCCTAGAAAGCAAAATCTAAAATGGAGTTTAGTGTAAAAGATGTTTATTAAGGAATAACCTTGAATTCATCACTTGTA